AATTGGCACGCATGTAATCCTACAGAGTTTCCAAAGGTGTTGGCAAAATCGCACTGCAATGATCCAACCACCAGAAGCTCGACACTAGAGACATGCCCAACGTTCTGCATCCATCTCACTCGCGCCTGCTGCACGCGACAACAGGAAAGGAGCGCAGGCAAGGTGCTGCGATGTTGTGCACTGGAGGGGGGCAACGCATCGGCTCTGCTGGGCCCCCGAGGACATCGCAATCTTGGGACGGATGGTGGCGTCGCTGAGGCAGGCCAGGACAACGTTTTCAGGTTTGCGGATACTGATTTTGCATTCCGCCTAATCCTGCCAGCGGGGCTGTTCCCGGACGCCGTCTGCGGCTATTGGCAACCACCTTAATGTACGCGTGATAATCGTAAAATGGTGGAGACCATCTCCCTGATAGCACCTCCGGTTCGCATGGTCATCGAGGGGGCGCTCGGACTCCGAGTGGCAGAGAATCGCGCAGTTGCTATCCCTTTCGGAGCGGCGGGGGGTTCGCCCCCAAACTCCCACCGTGGCCCTTTGGACGGATCCTCCGGCAGGCGTCACATCAACCGAAGCGTGGGCATTAGATTTTCCAGCGGCGGCCCAGGACATCATAGACTGCAGGATCTGCACATTGGATGCCGGGGGCATCCTTCACTGGAGCAGGCCGATGGCTAGCCTATCTAACCGAGACCAGCGTCGAGTGATGTGTGGTCACGCGCCAAGCTGGTGCAGGCGCACAAGAAATCGCAGCTCTTGTCCGCCGACTTCGACAGGAGGTTCAGAGAGGCACCTCACGTCGCAGTTGGCCACGCGACCATGAGGACCCTGCAGCTCTCCTTGTCGCCTACGCCGCCCCCGAGGCCTTGGTGGGGGACCCGACCTCCTAATTATGACCAACTCGGCCTGCTGCCGCCGCGCCAGGGCGCCACGTCGGGGGAGCATCCTCTTGGGCGCGGCTCCAGACATCCGGGGCCGAGCTCGGCCAGGATGAGTGCATCCTCGAGCTGAATAGTAGACTCTTCCAGTGGGGCATTTCCCGCAAAAAAGTGCAGGGACCTATGAAGAGGGAGCTTGGAGGGAGGGCTCTTGCAACATCGTTGATGCCTCTTGGGTTTGCATTGGTCCTCCTCCTCCTCCTCCTCGTCCTCCTCCTCCTCCTCTTGCCCATTCTCCCCCTTCTCCCTCCCTCTCTTCCTCCTCCTCCTCCTCCTTCTCCTCCTCCTCCTCCTCCTCCTCCTCCTCCTCTCCTCCTCCTCTGTCCTCCTCCTCCTCCTCTCCTCCACCTCCTCTCTCCTCTTCCTCCTCCTCCTCCTCCTCTCACTGCTCCTGCCAGCTCCTCCTGCTCCTCCTCTCCTCCACTCCTCCTCCTCCTCCTCCTTCCTCCCCCTCCCTTCCTTGTCCTCCTCTGCTCCTCCTCCTCATCCTCCTCCTCCTCCTCCTCCTCCTCTCCTCTCCTCCTCCTCCCTGCTCCTCCTGCTCCTCCTGCTCCTGCCTCCCTCCTCCTCCTCCTCCTCCTCCTCCTCCTCCCCTCCTCCTCCTCTCCTCTCCCCCCTCCTCCTCCAACTCCCCAATGTTCCCCTCCCTCCTCATCCTCCTCCTCCTCCTCCTCCTCCTCCTCCTCCTCCTCCTCCTCCTCCTCCTCCTCCCTCCTCCTCGTCCTCTTCCTCCTCCTCCTTCTCCTTCTCCTTCTCATCCTGGCATCCTTTTTTATCCGCCGTCCCCTAGTTTAAGCCACGAGCTTGGTATCCTTATTCATCGAAAAGCACCACAAGTGGACTGATGAAGGGAACCACCCCTGCCCTCACTGACAGCCGTGAATACAGTCATCCCGCATAGTAAGGAATAGGCCTTTTTCACAAGGGTACCCTTGCATCCTTGCCTCATCGGTCCATGTGTGGCCACCTTCTTTGGCCACGCCCCGCTCGAAAAGCTTCGAAAAGCTTCTGAGGCCCTTGCATGTTCATCGTGCGTCCCTGTGATACGGGTCGACTGTATCTTTCTCCCCCCCTGGCCCCCCGAGAGGAGCTCGAGGAGGCCGTGCGGCAGGGCGACGCCGCGGAGGTGCAGAGGCTTCCCCCCGCCCCCTCTGGGAGTGTGGAGGGCCTGCGCGGTGTCCTGCAGCCTCGGCGTTTCGGCAGCCTGGCTCTCCTGGAGGTGTCTCCCGCCTGGAGGTTTTGTCCGCCATCGAGTGCTGGCGTGAATTTTCGTGTGACGTTTGTGTCGGCTCCTTCCTCTCCTCCTCCTCGGCCTCCTCCTCCTCCTCCCTCCCTCCCTCCCTCCCTCCTCCCTACCTCTGCCCTCCCTCCCTCCCTCTGCCCTCCCTCCCTCCCTCCCTCCCTCCCTCCCTCCCTCCCTCCCCTCCTCCTCCTCCTCCTCCTCCTCCTCCTCCTCCTCTCCTCCTCCTTTCTCCTCCTCCTCCTCCTCCTCCCCTCTCCTCTTCCTCCTCCTCCTCCTCCTCCTCCTTTCTCCTCCTCCTCTCCTCCTCCTCCTCCCTCCTCCCCTCTCTCGCTCCTCCTCTCTTTCTCCTCTCCTCCTCCTCCTCCTCCTCCTCCTCAACCTCCTCCGTTTCGCCTCCTCCTCCTCCGCCTCCTCAATCCTCCTCCTCCTCACTACTCCTCCTCCTCCTCCTCCTCATCCCACCTTCTCCACCTCCTCCTCTCCTCCGACCTCCTCCTCCATCTCTCCCTCCTCGTCCTCCTCCTCCTCCTCCTCCTCCTCCCCTCCTCCTCCTCCTCCTCCTCTTGCCTCCTCTCCTCCTTATCCTCTCCTCATCCTCTTCTCCTCCTCTTCTCCTCTTCTCCTCCTCTTCTCCTCCTTCTCCTCCTCCTCTCCCTCCTCCTCGGTCGGCTACGGTGGGTTTTCCTGCCTCGGGATGCGTTCCAGCAGCCACGCTTCGCCGAGGGCGTGCCAGGGGTGCCCAGATTGTCCCGAACGGCCGCCAGAGAGGCGCTTGATTCAAGAGTTGAGGCAAGTGCAGCCACAGGGGGTCTCGTTTAAAAAGTACGCCTTCTCCACCCCTGTTTCGCTCCTCCTCGCTCTCCTCTCGTCCTCCCTCCATCCCTCCCATCTATTTACCCCCTCTCCTCCTCTTCCGCCTCCTCCTCCCCCTCCTCCTTCTCGTCCTCCTCGTCCTCCTCCCTCCCATCTACCTCTTCTCTTCCTCTTCCGCATCCTCCGCGTCGTCCTCTTCCTCCATCCCATATTCCTCTTCTTTCTCCTCCTCCTCGAGAATTCCAGGGTGAGGGTTGTTTTCTGCTCCAAGGAATCCCTCAGGATGTAGGTCGAGTGTATGTAGCACAGCCCGAGCGAAGCCTTCAGGACGAGCCAGAGCTAGCAGAAGCGTCCACGGCCGGACGCTTCCTCCTCGACCTCCCCTCGCTTTCATCAGGGGTCTAGCACCTGATTTGTCTTGGAGTGGAGGCTGTTTCACCTCCCTTTTTGAGTTTCGGATGTCCCCCTTGCAAGCATGAGGACAGTGCCAGAGGCCTCTCCGAGCAGTGTGCATTGCCTGGGCGATCCTAGGCCTGAGTGCTCCTCACCCGCAGGGCGGTTGAGCAGATCGCCGATTGAAGGCCACCCAGATCCAGCCGTTCTGTAGTGTGCATGCTGTGAGCAGGTTGTGAGGATTGCTTATCAAGTGATGTTGCACATGTTAGACCCGAGGGCCGCTTGTCTTGTTTCCGCCCTCTTTTTCGCTGGGGGTCAGGATGCTGCCTAAGCGCAGTGGATCCAGGGCTGACAGATGTACACCACCACCGCGGGCTCGTTGTCTGCCATGGAGGTTGATTGTAATGTTTGTTTCGGCTGTGTGTCGAAGGCTGTGTCAAACCCCGCGATGATAGCAGTTCGTCTGCGCAGCGTCATTACGGCCAGCGCCGCCGACGCAGAAGGACGATAACGACGACCACGGCGACGACAACGACAACAATGAGCTGATGACCCTGCCACAGACTCAGAGCATGGGGCGGGCGGTGGAGGGAGAAAGAGGACGAGGAGGAGGAGAAGAAGGAGTAGAAGGAGGAGGAGGAGGAGGAGGAGGAGAAAGAGAAAGAGGAGGCGGAGTGGGAGGAGGCCGAAGAGGAGGAGGAGGAGGAGGAGGAGGAGGAGGGGGAGGAGGAGGAAGAGGAGGAGGAGGAGGAGAAAGAGAAGGAGGATGAGGATGATGGTGAGGAGGCGGAGGAAGATGAGGAGGTGAAGGAGGACCCATCAACGATGTTGCAATAAACCTTCCCTCCAAGTTTCCTTATCACAGCTTTCTACATGTATTCATTTTCATCGAGGGAAATGCTCCATTGGCAGACAACCGTTCGACAATCCGGAATTGTGCCTGAACGCCATTCTCGGGATTCAACGCCGCGAATCAACGTTGTTGTCGCGTTTGACGATCCAGAATCGCGCCATAACGCACTTCCAGGGACTTCAACACCGCGAATCAACGTGATTGTCGCGCCATGACGTTCCGACATCATGCCAGAACATTCGTTATGGGACGTTAGCCATGGGAATCCTGAAAAATGCTGGAAATTCTTAAGACTAGCGTGCGCGGTGCTAAGGCGAAAACCACATTTTGCAAAGGAGCGGCCCTCCATCAAACTCTTAAAACGAACGTGTGCGGCGCTAAGGCGAACACCACATTTTTGAACTGAGCCGCCCTCCATCCGTGAAGCTCTTGCGACTTATAACACGAATGCGCGCGAAGCTAAGGCGAGAGATGCGTCTTGAAAAGGAACCGCCCTCTATCCGTGAAGCTCTTGCACTTGTCTAAGACGAAAGTGCGCGGCGCTGAAGCGAGAGCCTCATGTTGAACATTGGCAGGTCTCCTTGTGTGAAGGTATGGCAGTGTTTGTTGAACGAATGTGCGCGGCGCTCATGCGAGACCCGCATTTTGCAAACGGGCCGCCCGCCATCCGTGAAGCTCTTGCAATGGTTAAGTCGTGTGTGCGCGGCGTTCAGGCTAGAATCACGTGTTGAAAGCGGGCCGCCCTCCATCCGTGAATTTGTTGCCGCTTCAGGAATATACATTATAAGGATTTCTCAGGCGAAACGTCCAGCCTGCCCTTTCGACTGGCCGCGAGGTGCGACAGTGAGGATTTGTGAGGCGGAGGGGGAGGTGGAGAATGAGGAGGAGAAGGAGGGGGAGGAGAAAGATGGAGGGGAAGGAGGAGGAGGAGGAGGAGAAAGAGGAGGAGGAGGAGAGGAGAAAGAGGAGGAGGAGGAGGAGGAGAGGGGAGGAGAGGAGGAGGAGGACGAGGAGGAGGAGAGGAGGAGGAGGACGAGGAGGAGGCGAGAGCCGTCGGTCTCCTCGGGGGCTGGCCGGGGCTGGGGTCGAGCTTGGGCCTGGGCCAGGGCGGGGCCAGGGCTGAGGCTCGGGCCACGGCTGGGAGCTGGTGCCGGGGCCGGGGCCGGGCCCGAGCCCCGGCCAGGGCCGGGGCCAGGCCAGGGCCGAGGCTGCACATGGGGCTGGAGCAGGGCCGGGGCGGGGGGGAAGGAGCTCAGAGCTCCGCCGCCTGTTTTTCCCAACCATCCTGTGGTGTTGGGTCCTCGTTCTGAAGAGACGGTGCCCCGCGTCCCTCCTCCTTCCTCCCCCTCCTCCCTCCTCCCCCTCCTTGCCTCTGCTCTCGGCACACCTCTCACACGTTTCTTAGCTCCATAGGGAGCTCCACCGTAGGCCCCAGTGGGGGTGTCCGCATGCGGTTGGGGGCCCCATAGGGAGCTCCACCGAAGGCCCCCGCATGCGGTTCCCCCACCCAGGGCAGCGCTTCGTAGCCCCATAGGGAGCTCCACCGAGGCCCCAGTGGGGGTGTCCGCATGCGGTTCCCCCACCCAGGGCAGCGTTTCGTAGCCCCATAGGGAGCTCCACCGAGGGCCCCAGTGGGGGTGTCCGCATGCGGTTCCCCCACCCAGGGCAGCGTTCGTAGCCCCATAGGGAGCTCCACCGTAGGCCCCAGTGGGGCTGCCCTCGTGCGGTTCCCCCACCCAGGGCAGCGTTTCGTAGCCCCAGAGGGAGCTCCACCGTAGGCCCCAGTGGGGGTGCCCGCATGCGGTTCCACCGTAGGCCCCAGTGGGAGTGTCCGCATGTGGTTCCCCCATCCAGGGCAGCGCTTCGTAGCCCCATAGGGAGCTCCACCGTAGGCCCCAGTGGGGGTGCCCGCATGCGGGTTCCCCCACCCAGGGCAGCCCCATAGGGAGCTCCACCGTAGGCCCAGTGGGGGTGCCCGCATGCGGTTCCCCACCCACCCTCCCAGGCAGCGCTTCGTAGCCCCATAGGAGCTCCACCGGAGGCCCCAGTGGGGGTGTCCGCATACGGTTCCCCCACCCAGGGCAGCGTTTCGTGGCCCCAAAGGGAACTCCACCGTAGGCCCCAGTGGGGGTGCCCGCATGCGGTTCCCCCACCCAGGGCAGGGCTTCGTAGCCCCATAGGGAGCTCCACCGAAGGCCCCAGTGGGGTGCCCGCATGCGCTTCCCCCACCCAGGGCAGCGCTTCGTAGTCCCATAGGGAGCTCAACCGAAGGCCCCAGTGGGGGCGCCCGCATGCGGTTCCCCCACCCAGGGCAGCGTTTCGTAGCCCCATAGGGAGCTCCACCGAAGGCCCCAGTGGGGGTGTTCGCATTCCCCTACCCAGAGGTAGCGCCACCGACAACGATATTCACACTTGCGGTATTCACAACTGCATATGGTTGGGTCCTTCGCCAGGCGGGGCCGTCCCCCCGGGACAGCTGCCGGGACAGCCCCCCGGGCTCCCCCCCCAGGACCCCCGCGCCCCCCGGCGGGGAAGGGACAAAGGTCAGGAGGGAAAAGACACACAGGCACAATGAATCGTCGATTTTTCAAAGATATGGGAAACTATGGGAAATGGGGGGGAAGAAACAACCCAGAAAGTGTAGAAACAGATGGGGGATCCTGTTATTTGTGTCTATTTGCTTGTGTCTCCCAGGGCCCCTTCAAAAGGGAAGGCTTCCCTTCGACGCAATAACGACATTGTTCGATCCCCCTTGTTGTGTTCGATCTCCCTTGCGACGACAACGATTCAAAGGAGGCTCGCGTACTTCAGTTCGGTTTGGGCTGGCCT